TAATTCTGTGGTAATCAGTTACAACCCCAACCACCCACAAGAACCAGCATAATGTGTTTAGGACAAACCTATGTGGCCTAAACCAACAATTTTACCATGCAGGGGCCTGACAGTGAAAATCAAATGAATTAACAAATATTCTCCAGATGAGAACACTGCCTCGTTGAAGGAAAAAAAGATAGTTGGGGTAACTGTGTTTAGACTTTCTCTTCTTTAGCTCCCACAATCCCTTCAAACAGGGTCTGAATTCACATTTCTAAAGACTACTCTGTCAGTACAGTTAGAAATAAATAATAAAATAGAGAATATAAAGTACACATAGTTAATCTAAGCCTTAAGAGATTTGGCTTAGTTCTGCATAATTATAGGAAACTTTAACAGATATTTAACAGTGTGGTGTAGGGAATGTAACTCTCTAAGATAATGCTTTTTGAAAACTAATTTCTACATGAGTAATTGGTTAAGTAATTTCTCACTTTCTGTTTTAGTTTTCTACTCTTAGAAACTAAGCTACTAATAGCTTAGTAGGATTAACTGGCAAGTGCTATGATGAATTACTTAATATTCAAAAAATACTACAGTCTTCTGGAATTGCTACAACATACATGCAACAACATGCTGGATAACCTTTTCATGTCAAAGCTACATTTAGCTAAGAAGTTTTCAGCCTGAGAGAGAATACACAGATTTATTTCCTGGACAATGGATTGAAATATTCATTGCCGTTTCAGGCATTACTGAATGATAGCCTGTTTCAGGACTTTTTGGACGTCAGCAGTAAGGGCTACTTTCCACAACAGCGCTCTGACTGCAGGAGATAAAAGTGTGTTTATTCTTTTTTCACAGGGGAGGAAAACAATGACAAAAGCAGGAAGGCAGCAGTAATGCAGAAATCTGGAGGTGGTGATAAAGGGTAGGGAAAATGGAGGAAGTTGTTCAAATAAATCCATTCTGGTCAAAATCAGGCAGGTGACAACCATGTGTATATGACACTGAATTGAAGTGTGAATCATAATTTCAAAATTAACTAAAGAAAATTTAAAATTTCATTAAGTGTGAGAAAAAATTATGTGAAATAAAGAACAGAAACCAAAGCATTTCAAACCTTTAGAACACAATTTCACATCGTTCTTCCTGAGTGCACTACACAACCCTTAAAAAGACAAAAGGACACTGCATTTGTTGAAAGCATTGCTGCTGCACTCTGTGAAGTACACCTAATTAATACTGACATGTTATTGCTTCCCTCTTGACATCTTGTGAACCGTCAGAGCTAGCCAAATAGCAAGCCAGCACAACCTCTGGCTTGGAGAAAATTTCAGTTAGTGACAAACAGTAAAAAACAGCACCTGAGAACAAGGCAGATCTTAAAATGAGCATTGCTCAACAGAACAGAGTGAATGACTGTATGGATTTAAACATTAACTGCATGAGGAATAATTCAGTTGCACAAGGAACCAAAGAGAATTTTAACAGCACATCTCTTTAAAAACTAGCTTTGTTGTTCAGCTGATTTAATTAATAACCCCCCCAACATTTTAGAAGGGGCAAAACCAGCAGTGAGCATGAACACAAACACACTGCCCCCTGCAGCCAGTTCTCTGTTAGAATAGCTCACAGCTCAGGTAATGCAGAAGTATGACCCAGTTAGTTCCATTTCTCAAATTTAGGTAAGCAGAACACAGATAAACAATTTTTCATTTACTTGTGGATCAAGTCACCAAGATTTGGTGTTACACTGTCCTAAGCCTTTCACGAATAAGGCAAAAACCTCCTCCCAAGCCCTCATATTTATGATTATCATTTTGCTGGCAAACAGACCTCTTTCATCACTCTTAACTGATCCAATTTTCACACCATCACCAAGACCTCCTGTTTTACATTTTAATAAATCTCTTGCAACAGGAGTAAATCAGCGAAGACCTTAGAGACAGCAGGAAAATGAGTAAGAACTTGTTTCTTTAGAAAAATGTCATTTTTGAAAAATATAATCTTTAACAGGTGATAAAAAGCAAATAAAAAGTGACTTCATTCTGATAATACATTAGACTTCTGCAGAGAGCATGTCTTCATGGTCACATTAACAGAATGTGGAGTCTGCACGAGAGACAAATGCAAGAGTCTTTATGCAGAAACTCCAAAGCACAACACATGCTGCAAGTCACAGGAGGAAGCACAACAGTTCTGAAGCCATAAACACAACCTTTCTGGTCTTTATTCACACATTTCTTCAGTAATTTAGATTAATAAGGTCGTTTCTGTGTAGAAAGAGTAGATTATATTCATGAACAAGTGCTTAAGAAGACTTATGGCCAAAATGGAAAATAGTAAAGCTTCAAAATTTAATTTTTCATCCCTCTTACCAGAGTTTTGTAACATCATTAAAAGGATGGACTATAAAAGGAGAAAACTTACATATTACCAATATGCCACTGTTGTTCATACAAAACTAAACAAATATTTTATTTTTTATTTAGCTTTTGTTTTTCTCAGGACAACTACAAAGACTATCTCAAATCAAAGATTAGCACCAGGATATGTTACTGAGTGTCAGATGTCACTCACTCTAAAATTTTAATCAGAAGAAAAAAATCTTTCAAAACTAATTGCAGGTTTAACTATTTCCAGTAAATTTACTTGGAAAGGAGGGGCTGTATACATATGCTACATGTTAGAACTCGTATCATCCTTAAGTCTTATTGCCTTTTTGTTGCATTTTATACATAAAGTTATTATGATCTATACTTGGTATTTTCTCTAAAAAGAAATTCACCAGAGCTTATTAAATAAATCTAAGCTCTCAGGTAACTTTTACATGGAAGTAGTAGCATTTTATACAATTTCCAAGCATTGCTAGAAAGCTGTATCAAATAATTTTAAAATATTAAATTCATCACAGAAAATAGTGGTTTTTTTACACAGAAGTTTTGTTCATAAACCAACTGTCAGCTTAGAGTTGTGAACACAAATATTAGAAGTTAATGTTTCAGCTGTTTTTATAGAGGCTGGTATCTCCACAGTGCTGTTGCTATAGCTCCTCTGCCACTGAGACCATATTCCTTTATAATGAATAGGTAAAGACACACAAAGTGTTGGGATGTGCAGATATTAATCTATACACACAGGAAAAACTAAACATTGCAAACTTCCTCCTTAAAATACTTCTTGCAATAGTCAAAAGATCAAAAGCAGGATACAGAACCTTGTACTTTTACCCTACATGAAATTACATAGACAAGTATTTCTACAGTATACATCTTTAATTTTGTATTTAAACAGCATAAATTTCTCAGAATATACTCAAAACACTACCTTAGTACAGAAAAGGTCTAGAATAGTAGAGAAAGCTTTTAGAAACAAAATTTAAAATTATAAGAATCCTTGCAAAGGACTGGCCAATCCAATGAAATGAACAGTTGCCTTCCACCTTGGATTCAAACAGAAAAACTCTTAAAAAGGAAACCTTGATTGGAAGCCCAGTAATTTTCATCTCACATGCCTCTTAAGACAGCTAATTTCTCAGTCATTCTAAAGAGCATTGTGTGTTTACACACTATTTATTCAAAGGTGAATTCAGAGGAGGGGCAAAAAGATACCCAGAAAAACATAAGGTTTTATATGAACTGCTTTAGGTTGACTGCTCCTTCAGAAAAAGGAACCTTTTGGCATTTGTCAGCAGGCTCAAATATCTCAAAATGCTGAAAAGGCGAAACAAAAAATTCTCCCTGTGCTGCCTTCCTATCTGATCTTTTGTCTCATATGTTTGCCTCAGGGATGCAACAAGAAATTTCTCTGAATAATTCATAAGTACCTAGGCAGAAACCAGCTCCTACTTCTGAACAAAAAGATTTGGTAAGAAGCTGATTTCAGCTGTTATATTCTGCTCTATCTGGAAGAAAACTGGATTAAAAGAGAAAGTAATTTTCCTAACATACTAACCACAGAATATATACATGTATATATTTATGTACTATGAAGTATATAAACAAACATACATTTATGCTGGGGAAGGCACCTTTGTACTTAAAGCTACATTCATTTGAGGGCAAGACTGATTCTGCACCTTTCAAAAATTTCAAAAATTCAAGAAACCATACAGCATGAAGATAATGAATAAACATGCAGAATATAGAGACCAGCTCTACTCTCTGCTGGTGTGGCCTCACCTCAAGTCATGTATGCAGTTTTGGATGCCACAATATAAGAAAGGTATTAAGCTATTAGAGAGTGTCCAAAGGAGGGCAATGAAGATGGTAAGGGGAAGCCATGTGAGGAGTGATTGAGCTCACTTGGTCTGTTCAGCCTGGAGGAGGCTGAGGGGAGACCTCATCGCAGCTACAACTTCCTCGTGAGGGGAAGAGGAGGGGCAGGCACTGATCTCTTCTCTTTGGTGAGCAGTGACAGGGCTGAGGGAATGGCCTGAAGTTGTGTCAGGGGTGGTTTACATTGGATATTAGAAAACGGTTCCTCACCCAGACGGTAGTGGGGCACTGAACAGGCTCCCCAGGGAAGTGGTCACAGCACCAAACGTGACAGAGTTCAAGAAGAATTTTGTCAATGTTCTCAGTCACGTGGTGTGATTCTTGAGGATGGTCCTGTGCAGGGCCAGAAGTTGGACTCAGTGATCCTTGTAGGTCCTTTCCAACTCAGGATATTCTATGATTTTATGAATTTGAATTTTAGGTTGGAATAGCAGAATGACTGGTCTTTCCTCTAGACTACAGTATCTTATCACAAACCATCTTTATTTCCTAATGGCACTGAATATTAGGCAGATGCAAATGATTTCTTTTTCTGTAGTCTCTATTAGGACTGAAATAGTCTTATTGCCGGCAGATCCTTTTTACATCCCAAGAGAATAAATGCCAGAAAAAACTGTTTCCAAAGCATTTTGTTAATAAGAATATAGATCTAAAACTCATAAGCTATGGGTCAAGATTTCACAGTAGGGTAACATCAGTTGAGATGACAGGACTCACGAAGGTGGACTCGAGACTTACCAGCCTCTGCATGCTTTTCACGTGGGTAGGACTAATAGATAAGGCCTCTTCATACCAGCGTTTGGCTTCATCAATATTTCCACGAAGTTCAGACACTTGACCTCTCATGTAGAGAACATAGTGGGACATTGGAAAGAGATTAGCAGCTTCCTGGGTACACGCCGTGGCCTCAGCAGGCTTCCCAATCCCTATGTAGACTTCAGCTGTGGAAGGAATGTGTGAACCAATTAATGATTCCTGCTTCAGCATACCATGACTAGATGTTGTCACTTGTAATCTGTTCGTAAATAGTTTCATTCTGAACAAAGGCTATATTCATAAAAATATTTGCATCTTAAGAGAAATTATTACCTGAATTATTTTAAATTATTCTTTTAGGAAAGTTGCTTTTCTAGATATAAAAGGAGTTACAGCCTCTAAATGGTTTTTTTAAACCCCAGACTTCTCTTTATAGTTTGTTATTTATAACTTAAGTCTGGGATTTTTTAATTTTAGTTTTATTTTTGAGATGTGAGCATGACGGTATTCCAGAACTATTTAAAACAGTTGAGTAGCCTGACATCCACTTATGCAAATCAGATTGACTATAGGGGGAAAAAAAGGTTTCATTCAGTAAGCAATTAACAACTAACAACAGAAAAGTATTTGCCTTCAGTAGCTCTTATAACACTCTTCAACATTGCTATTTCACTACCCTGCTGGATTATCCTAATCTCTTCCTGAAAGAGTAAGAGAAGAGAGTAAAAAAGAGATCCTAAATACAAGAAAAAGCTATTAAAAATTCTGAATTGGGTCATCTTTCCCTTTATGTTGGTATAGACCCAATAACAATGAAAAATGAAACCTCAAAGTAACTGTATAACTGCATTCCATTGTATCACACTGCACAAGAGTTTTATAGATTAAGGTTTAAATCAAGGTGCTGCATCAAAACAGCAAAGTCATCTATCACTGCCCAAGATATGCCTCTCACTGTACTGCACAGGCCACCCATCTTGGTTTAAAGTCTCTCAGTTCAGGAATTCACACTGCAGCAGTGCATTTGGGATTATGCCTAAAACTCTGAATGAGACTGATGTTTGAGTGCCTATAAAAGAGCTTTTTTCTGAGATAATTGCATCAAACAGACTTGACAGTATCTCTAACTAGTCAGCTTCACTACAGCAGAGGGTATAAACTGTAACTTACAGGTGATATCTGCCATGAATATTCAAAACTATTTTCATCAAAATGAATTTATAACAATACTAACAAAACATGGATTTTCAGTAGCAGTAGGTGGGTAAGCACAGTTTAAAGTTCTTTCTCATTTCCTATTTTTTTAACCAATTTTTGTAGGATTGCAGGAGTAAATTATTTTCTTCCTCTAAGACCTGATCCTATTGGTGGGACAACAGATCTTTTTCTACCAGAGTGAGTATTATTGGAGCATTATTTTGCTTCTCAGTTGACTTGGTGATTTCACAGAACACATTCTACCCAACACAGTGTGCCCATGTAGATGTATTGATTAATGCAGTGTATTAGAAACTACCAAAATGTTTTTTGATGGAAAAAGTCTCATCCACATGAAGAACTAACATATGAAATTGCAGATCCAGTCACACTTTTTCCCCCTAACCCTAAAAGAACCTCTCACACAGTCAGAGATGGTACTGTATAACTAAAGAATAGCAAGACTCTTTCTCCTGGAAGACAATGAACAGATAAAATCTTGAAATCAAAATCAAAATTTAGGAGGATATAATTTTTCTAGGATTTTACTTTTATTATTAATAGACTCCAAAGAGCAAGGGGTAGCCTAATTTGTGAGCTGTACATTAAGCAGAAAATGTGAATTTTACTGAGAGGGTTTTTTTTTTTAAAAAAACTACAGTATTTTTGAAAAGCTTTGGGTACTTTTACTCTTGAGTGCTTTTGCAAAGGTTCTATGTGAGAAACAACATTTTAGTGAGTACAAAATACACTACATTATTCAAATGCTAACTATTTGAGTTCTACTGGTCTTGCTGTCTCTTCTCCAGCATCACCAGATTAGAAACATAATTTTAAAAGCTGTTTGGTGAAAGGATAAGTTCAGAAAAATATAATTTATACAGGCTATAAAAGGTACTATGTAAAGCTAATTACTAATTAAACAATTAATAAGATAATTATTAGATAATAATACTCAGAAACTAAAAATTACTTCAGTTGGTGATTATCTGCTATCACAATAATTCTAAACTGAAATATAAGCAGAGATTTTCTACTTTAACAGAACACAGTTGAAATTCTGTATTCCTTGAGAAGAAACAATTATGGTAATAATAGCTTTTAACACTAGGCTGCAATATACTGCTTAAAAATTCATCTTCTGTTAATGTAAGAGATACTATAGCTTGCTGTCCTGCTTAGGAACTGCAGCAGAGAAATTTGAGTTATTAACACACCTTCCTAAAAGTATTAAATTTAAACAAAATAATTCTTTACTGTTTAAAGTTATTAAAGAGTTATTTTAAAAACAAGTTCTTTCCTCTACCAGAAATTGTGCCACCCCAACAGAATATACAGTAGGCTTTTTGAAAAATGTGCATGAATGAATGACTAGAAAATGGAAGTTGTAGCTCAGTGTTAAGCATCAAAGTTCATACAGGAAATTTCTGAATTCAAAGGGGAGCTGTTCGTTCTGAGTTAATGACTTCAAACTGAATAAAAATGCTAAGAACTAACATGACAAATTCAAACAAATCAATTGTGGAAAACTGGCAAGTGCCAGCAGACTTTGTAGGAACATTTCAGAAAGGAGCAGCCGTTTGAAAAGAAACCAGGGGCCAAGCTGATGTGCTCTTTCCAGTGTCTCCACCCAGGGAACACCAAGAATGCCTTCTGGCTCAAACACTTCCAACGCTTACATTTGCATTTTATTGAGGAATCAATCAATTTTCCAATCAAGCAGCATAGCAATAATGAGCTCAGTCTTGGTGCATTTCTAAAAGGACTATCGCAGTCATTGATCACTTAGGGACAGGTCTGGTTTTTAACAGTGAGCTACTGAAGAACGGACGAATTGCAAAAGTCACTTAGTTTCACATTTAAAATAATTTAAATAATTTAAAATAAGCCTGATTTTCCACCTTTTTACGAAAGGTCCAAAATGAAAGGCTGAAACAGTCCATTAATAAAAACAAGATGAAAAATTAAAAGCCAGTTACCACATACAAAATCAACTTCTATGGACTGACTGCCATGCTCATCCACACTAATGACAGCTCAAATGACACTGTATACCCATCCATAAGAACAAGCATTTTTCTATTTTTTTACACCATCTGTATCAGTTTGGGTAAATATCTTTGTCATGGGTTTACGTGGCTGAGTTTTGATAGCGGGAGGCGCTATAGGGTGGCTTCTGTTAGAAGCTGCTAGAAGCTTCCACTGTCCTGTGAAGCCAATGATAACCAGTTCCAGGAGGGACTTCCAGCTGCTGGCCAACGCCGAGCCAATGAGGTGGCCTCCGTGGTAACATATTTAAGCAAAGAAGTTGTTGCACAGAAGTTCCAGCCCGGGAAGAGAGGAGTGAGAACATGGGACAACAAGGCAGACACCAAGGTCAGCGCAGCAGGAGGGGGTCACAACCCCCCCTGCCTCTTCTCGGGTGCAGGGGAAGGACTTAGAGCTGAGGTCCCTGCAGCCCATGAAGGACCATCGGGGTGCGGAGACCCCCCTGCAGCTCATAGAGGAGCCCACACTGGAGCAGGTGGATGCATAGAGGAGGCTGTGACCCCCTGTGGAAGGCCCAAGATGGAGCGGGGTCCTGCAGGAGACGTGTGGCACGCGGAGAGGGAAACTCACGCTGGAGTAGGTTTTTCCCAGGTAGGACTCGTGGCCCTTGGGGGACCCATGTTGGTACAGCTCATCTGTGAAGGACTACACCCCATGGAGGAGTGACCCACAGGACAGCAGACTGGGAAGAACTGCTGCCCGAGGGACGGACTCACGTGGGAGAGGTCCGTCAAGGACTGTCTCCTGTGGGAGGGACCCCCACAGGAAAGACTCAGAGATGTGACCCCCCTGTAGCCTGGGGCGAAGACCAAGGTGAAGCGAGTGTCCCCCTGCAGCCCATGGAGGACCATCAGGGTGCAGAGATTTGACTGTACCCCATGGGAAACAACAACTGACTGCAAAACCCCTATTCCCTGTTTCCCTGCACTGCTGGAGGGGGAAGAGGGAGAACATGCAAGGAAGGAGGGGTGGGGGAAGGTGTTTTAAGACTGTTTAATTTCTCACTCTTTAAGTCTTAAATTTAAGTTCTATCCCCATGTTGAGTCTGTTTTGCCAATCAGTAAGTGACTTCTCCTGGCCCTTATCTCTACTCATGAATTGCTCAGCTGTTTTCTTTTTCTCTCCTCTGTGGAGTTACGGAGGGAGGGTGATGTGGCAGCTTTTAGTGGGTGTTTGAAATCCGGCCAGGGTCAAACCACTACAATCTTCCACTAAGTTTTGCATGTATTGGAACTTATTTACATAACTTTTCAATGTCTCTATAATCTTACAGGAAGAATAATTCTTAATTTTTGTATTTTAAGATTTAAAGCTTATTAAAGATTTTTTCTCCCCCACTAAGAAGCAAGACCCTGCACAACCATATGGGGAGTCAAACAGTTAAATGTGGCACGAGTCTCAAAAAGGAAGCAATTTCCCAATTGTAAATCTTCACTTTTATTTAAAGAATATGTGCTGTGAGGTGTTAAGTAATTTGTAAAGTAATTTTATCACTGTTTTCTATGCAAGGAACCTATATATACACTGATGAAGACACCTTCCAGAATATCTGTTTTGTATTGTGCTTCTGGAAAAACTTTATTTTCAATGTTCCTACAGTAAAGAGCCTTTCTTGAGGCTCGGCACATTTACTGTAGCAGGACAAGCAGCTTACCTAAAGCAGCATACTCAAAGACTCTGAAACACAGCACAAATCACCAACAGAAGTACCAAGAACAGACCACGTTTGCCAAGACAGAGATTTTTAAGAGTGAAAAGTGGCCTGTGTAGTGGATTGCAGCAGCCAACTACCAGTGTGTATGCAAATCTGATTAAGCTGTGAACTAAAAAGGGATCAGAAAAGTGTGTCCAGACCCCTCCTTTGTGGGTAAAACAGCAGCAGTCACTTGCACAAATCAGAAAATCAGCAACAGGACATGACCAACAAAAACTAAAAAAAGCCAAACAGAAAACAAGCAGTTCAATAAACTGCCAAGGAAGGCTGAGAAATCATCAGCATTACAGATGCTAAGAGTTGCTCTGGATGGCCACCTGTGACAGTTTATAAATATTTAAAATCAATGATGCCATGATGCAGGGCAGGAGACTACACTATGCCCTGTTGGACCCTACGTTGTACTAATCCCTGTTGTTTTCAAGGAGCCTTTCCACCCCCAAATGAGATCACTGTTATTAATCACTGTAATTGCTCTTTCTTTCCAATCTTCTAGGCTTTTCCTCTAAACCACTAAACCATTAATAACTGGGAGCCATTGCCCTGCGATGACTTTCCCACGATAAAACTGTTAATGCAAAATAGGTAAATTAAGATGCTAAGAAATAAGGGACAGTTTTGTTAAATATAAACATGAAGGGAAAAAAAAAAAGTATCAGTGAAAAATGCTCTGAGAGCAGACCAAAGCAGAACAATTGCTGGCTGATTTCTTAATTAGGCCTTTCTGATGCAAATATCATTAAGAACAATTAATAATTATAATAAAACAAGTAATAAATTTTATCTGTGTAAAAATACACTGGATCATCATTTTCTGGTTAAAATTTTATGTAACTGTCACTTGTGATATTGTATTTAGCTTGAGGCTTGGAGCAGCATAACAACAGTAAATCCACTCAAGATGACTCCACATTTAGACAAACAATCATGGGTATCTTACATTAATGAAGTCAGAAGGAAGAGAACTGAACGAGAGCTCATTATCACAGCTTCAAGGGACAGGTTGCTCAATTACTACTGGTTTTTTCCCCACATATGCAGAGTTATTTATTTTCAATTGTAAAGATCTGTAGTTACAGGAACTCCATTCAATAATCTTACAAACATCTTTTTCCGTTCAACAGAATCAGGACACCTAAATTTATAAATACTAAGATACTCTAGGTACTTCAGAAACTAAATTCTTCAAGGATAAGGCAGAGAGTTTTCCTTTTGTTTTACAGAAAATATGACTCCACTGATAAAGAACTGCATTCTAAAAGTACTGCCTTATCATTTATAAACTGACTTACATACAGAATAACTCTAGCGTGCTTTTTATTTCTTGGCTTGCTTCAGTGACACACACAAAGAAAAAATTTGCTCTGATAAGTGATAATAGATTCTGAATTAAAATAACAGATTTCTGCAAGTCCTTAGGCTAGCAAGAAAGGGGAGGGCAAAGAAAAATAAATGTTACTTTCATAATACCTGCATGAAGCCATATTTGAGCCAGAGTCATCCAAGGATGCAGGGGACCTTGTTTAGGGGCACTGCTTTGCAGAGATGAAGCAACCTCAGACAATGCTTGCTCCACTCTGGAAGCTGCTATTGATGTGGCATGGACTGAACCTGCAGAAGTAATAAAAGAAAATTTACCATCATAGAAAGAACAAAGGCTATATATGTTGCATAAAAGATTTAACAGTAACCCTTTTCATAAGAGGCTTTACCCCAAATTCCTCATATTTAATTTACATTTACCATTTTGAAGAAGTTTTTTTAAATGTCAGGTTAATTTTCCTTCTTACGAAAGCTTTTACACTGGTCTGAAAGACTTTAAAAAACACACTGAACACTGGTAACTATACCTGATGCTTTTCTGGGTTGCTACTATGAATATTCTCTATTAAGCTTGACACTTCTTTTCTAGCAATGTACAATCCAAAAAAGGTTTGTGATGGTATCATACACTATAGTCTTCAGGTTGCTGCATGCACTTTGATGTTAGTATTTGCTATGTCTTTCCATAGAGTGCAATTAGAGGATTATTTTAAGACTAATATAAGAATAAAAAAAAAAAGAGGACTAAAACACACATGACGATCACAACATACCCCCTCACAAACGCACAATTAAACTGCATTGGATGTAAAACTTGACTTATCAAGAAGTCTGAGCTAAAATGCCTTGTAGCAAAAAAGTCCCTCGCTTAAAGAACATTCCCAAGGCATACGAGGGATAAAAGCTGCCATGACTAGAGAACACCTAATGGCAGTTGGACTTTTGATAGCCAGTTACTGTCAGCATATCTAGTAATGATTGTTTTTTAAATCAAGAACATGAATATTTTAAGTGACACCCTTTCTTGTCGTCTAAGTCTCAACGTATTTCTAATTGTTTTATAATTACAAATTACAAAATCTCAGACTCACTAGGCCTGATTCATAAATAATGACAGTAAAATATTCTGCAGATACAATGGCAGATAGTATAAAAGAAAGAACTCATTCTTGTAAAAGATGCACTGCCCCCCAAAAGTTTGTCCTCATCACTAAAAGTTAAGAAATAAACAAAACCTTTATGCTCAATATTATGAGAATTTTAACAAGAAGAGATCTGCCACATAAAACTTACATTCTTAAGTGTGACAAGATAAATCAGAAAACCAGAAAGCATGAGAAATTCCTAGTACATAGATTAGGAGGAAGTTTGTCTGAAAGTGTGCATCATATTTCCTTTAAGTGACAGAAACAAGGGAAAAGCAGCACAGGACACAATTAGCATTTCATATCATTATGAAAGAAATTGCCCAGAAGATCTGAAACAGTATCTGGCAGTGGGGCTTGCTCTCCTTTACTGACTAGCTGATGAAACAACTCAAACTCCAGCCTTCACAGCTGAACATTCACCACAGTTTTCGTGTATCTTATTTTAAGGTTTGACTTCTGAAGAAATAAAAATGTCTAAGTAAGAGGCACATGGAGTGTATTCCAAGAAAAATACTAGCAAGGATATCATAAATAAGCACGAGTCATCAGCAACCCTTTTTTTTGTCTGACAGCCATTTCTGTAAATGCACCTCACTGCAGACTGTCACTTCTTACCCTTCAGGGGATTAACAGTGAAAGAGGCTTCTTGCCTCTCCAGAACAATTTGTAAAGAAAAGGTGCAATTCATTGACACAAAGGAGATTATCTAATCCCTTCTGAAAAGCAAGTATGCAATTTAGTATTAAAAAGGGCCTATACTTTCTATTATTTAAAGCAAGGACTCTGGCTGCTAGCCAGGCCACAAGTAATTTCATATCCAAAAGGTGCTACTAGATTTTAAGCCTCTAGTAATTAAACAAAAAGCACATATGGTAATATATTATTAAAACTTTTTGTACATCAATTTATTAATAAAAAACCCCTATACTGTGATAAAATTCTTATGAGTCTCAGTGCCACCTATATTAAAATTAAAACAGAGTGGATACTGAGTGCTTCCTACCCTGGATTTTATACTAAATGACACAAAAAAAAAAAAAAAAAGGAAAAAAACTTAAAATATCTTCTTAGAAAAAAATTTTTTAAGTGGTATTATTCAAATTGTTTATATTTCCTGCTTAGGAAAGAGGTAATCCTTAATATATTGCAGCAATTAGCTGTCTGACGAAAATATACACATATACACAGCCAGGCAGAAAGTCTGGATCGACAGGAAGCTGAACACGAGCCAGCAGTGTGCCCAGGTGGCCAAGAAGGTCAATGGCATCCTGGTCTGTACAGGAACAGTGTGGCCAGCAGGAGCAGGGAAGTGATCCTTCCCCTGTACTCAGCGCTGGTGAGGCCACACCTGGAGTGCTGTGTCCAGTTCTGGGCCCCTCAGTTCAGGAAGGATATTGAGGTGCTGGAGCAGGTCCAGAGAAGAGCAACCAGGCTGGTGAAGGGACTCGAGTACAAGTCCTATAAGGAGAGGCTGAGGGGTTTAGTTAGTTAGGGTTGTTTAGTCTGGAGAGGAGGTGGCTCAGGGGAGACCTCATCACTCTCTACAACTCCCTGAAAGGAGGCTGTAGCCAGGTGGGGGTCGGTCTCTTTTCCCAGGCAACTATCGGTAAGACAAGCTCTGCCAGGGGAGGTTTAGGTTGGATATTAGGAAGAAATTCTTTACAGAGAGGTTAATCAGGTATTGGAATGGGCTGCCCAGGGAGACGGTGGATTCACCATCCCTGGAGGTTTTTAAGATGAGGCTGGATGTGGCACTCAGTGCCATAGGGTAGTAACTGTGGTGGTACTGGATCAAAGGTTGGACTTGATGATCTCAGAGGTCCTTTCCAACCCATCTGATTCTATGATTCTAAGTCTTCTAGACTTTTAGAAACTCAGGCTGTAGATTATTCAGTATAATCAACTAAATTTAAACAATATTGCAAACAAGTGGATTCTTGGGGTTCAAGTTTGAAGAACAATGTTAAGCAGCCTTCAAAGAAACCTGGTGCAAACTTTTGCGAGGCTGTTTGGGAATTCCAGCCCTTGAAATCCTTCACACTTCAGTCTTATTTAAAATGTAGTGAACTCAAGGATGTCGCAAAACAGCGAAGACCATTGATAACTGTACTTTTTTTTATTTGGTTTTGTTTCTTTGATAATCCTCCTTGCATTGGTGAAGAGAGATAGCAAGGACAGGGCTACAGTTTTCAAAAGAAGGAGGGATAACTTCCAGTACAGCCTTGCATATCTAATCGGCACAGCCACTGCATACTTTATCATACATTTACATATTTGCTATAACCTTTTTTTTCCCTTTTTTTTTTTTCTTGACACTGTCCAGTCAGGCATCTTTTAGGTACATTGCACTCATGATGATGACTCTAACCCATACTAAATACTTCTTTAATATAGCTACAATTAGCTGTCATCTAACTCATTTCTGGCTCCTTCTGTTAAAACACACTTCGTAAACTTCCATTCTGCAGACAACAAAAATCATTTAAAGATCTTCTGTACTAAAAAGCTTTTTCCTGCCTTCCTTCAAATTTTATTCCTGCCTTTTCTTACTAGAACTAACTTATCTGAATTCTTTATTCCTTGTTCTAGCCCAGGATACCCAGGTTCAGATTTTTATATTTACATTACAATTCTAAAACACACAGTAATTTCAACTACAACTGGTAAAGATACAAAGTGGTTTGTGAGAAACCGAGAGTGAAGTGTAGGTCCTAAAGTCATCTTGAAGTCTGCTTGAGGCCTCACAGTTCCTACACCACCAGTTACTTATTTGGTGGCTCCCTGATAGTTTTACTGTAAGCTCTGCTCTCTCTTCCCAGTCATATCTGCACTTCGCTTTCACTGGTCTGAGCCAAACACAAACATATCCTCACTTTCAGTGTTACGATTCACTGTTGTAGCTTCCTTGAAATGCTCAGATAGAGTAGCAGCAATTTCTGATTTAAAATTTTACCACAACTTTCATGCACACAAATATCTGTCCTCTTCTAGACAACTTCTATACCTGCTGTTATAGCATGACACTTCAGAATCAAGAAAAAATTCCCTCAAAATACCATGAGAAGCAAAAAGCGTTTATTTTGAGACAGAAAAGCATGAGGCCTGGAAAAGTATTATATCACTGAAATAGATTCTGGCTATAATAATATAGGAGCCCCTGGTGGTCTAGTGGTAAGGGCGCGGCGCTGTCACCGCCAAGGCCCGGGTTCGATTCCCGGTCAGGGCCACTCCCGGGCAGGTGGGGCTCGTTAGCCCTTAAAAAGGCAACCCACCTACGTCCTGAGGACCTCGCTGCCACTGTCCAAGCTCGCTTGGCCCCGGCAGATGAACCTTAGGATTAAAGGGTGGGCTCAGTTCCGCGCACACTGTGTCTCACCTAAAAAATCCAATGCGCAGGCTGGAAGGTGGAAAGACCTTCCCCGGATCTTCGCTCGCAAAGACTGGCCATTATTATTAGATTCTGGCTACTCACTTTTAGTTAGTTAGTTTTGTTCTGAAGCTTGTTTATACTAAAAAAGGTCAAGTGTGAAACAGGAACTGTCTTTGCAAGATCTAGAATTCACTAATTAAGTTACTTTAAATTACAGAATATTCTGAGTTGGAAGCGACCCACATGGATTATTGAGTCTAACTCTTAAGTGAAGGGCCCATACAGGGATCAATCCCATGACCTTGGTGTTATCAGCACTATGCTCTGACAAACCGAGATAACTTATTGGTTAACATCTGGAGTCACAATCACACTGCACACTGCAAAATGTGACAGAAGGTCTAAACCATGTGAAAATGTTCCTAAATAAAAATGCAATAACTTCCCACTCAGGTTTCCTATAATGGCACTTTTCCAGAATTTACAGTTTCTACTCACCATACTAACACACGGTCTGCAGCAACCATGTTACAGATTCAATGCTTCAACTACATCTTAAATAGAAAACCTACCAACAGCCTTGAACAAACACAATTTAAACCAAAAAGTTAAGTCATCTCACAGAAACCTTTTTCTTCCAAGTCACACGTACAGTACAATTTTGTGAATAAAGCATTCAATTTAGTCTCTTCAGGCTTTTCTTAAATGTTACAGGAGAGTCTACATGAACCCATCTATTAAATAACATTTATAAGTCACCCTATGTAAAT